CTCATCCGTCTATTCTTAATGTGGAGGTGTCACTGTCTTTGATCCATTCCTCCTTCTTACTGAGATCTGTGTCTTTGAAGAGTTACTGTAAAAATTGAGGGCCAAACCAAGTTGTGTGGGTATTAAACAGACCACCTCTGAGTGAGTTTCCACATTAGATGCTGGGAAGCTTCAAAGTCTGTGCCTGACTCTCTGGGTTTCACCAGTGGATGCTAAGTGCTTATCATCAGAGTGCCTCACTGTTGCAGTTGAGAACCTTTACGCAGTCTCCAAAGATCTGAGTAAGCCTAGCTAGCATGTGGGCATCTGTGGTGTCATTCTGCTTTACTATGTTCTGCTAGTTGCAAGACATTCAGAAACTCTAAGGATCTGAACCTGAGTTATAATTTTTCAGTTATTCTGGTTCTTTTTAGAAATTATCTATGATTGGGGTTGGGGATTTGGCTCAGTAGCATAAAGCAACTAACTGCCTTGCAAGCAGGTGGTCATGAGTTCGATCCCTGGTACCGATAAAAATGAAAAAGACAAAATAAATAAATAATCTATGATGGATGAGTTATATATGATGCACTAGCAGAATCACTAATAGTGATGTTAAGGAATAGTGCAGGTCAGCTGGGTAATCAGGGACCCTGCATAGTAACAACACTCATGATGCATGGGCTGAAGCCACTTCTGCCTGTCCCTCAGAGTCACCATATCCCCTTCAGGAAGCAGCTTCTACCATAAGCATACTTTAGATATTTCACCTTGTGATAAAGAAATCATCAGATCCTATAACATATTTTGTATAAACTTTCTCCAAAGTATAGCTTCATTTGATAGCTAAAAATATTGTCTCCACTCCCCATTTTAGAGAAAGGAACTTTTTATTTGGAAGAATATAGAATTTGATAATTAATTTAAATCTTGCATTATCATTTGGAAGATTTTTAATATGGAAAGGTGGCTTAACCTTCCAAAGCTGTGTTTGACTAGTTAATAAAAACAGTAGAGGTACAGATAGGCTCGAGTGCCTGACTTTTTTTTTTTAAATGCTCAGTAGGTGTCAGATGCCATTCTAATTGCTTTATACATTTTACACAATGTAATTCTCACAAGAACTTTTCATAGCAGGCATTGTGATCTGCTATGTGAGTTCTAAGCGATCTACACTCAGGAATCTTGAGTACCAAAGAAATTAAAATATCAGGTCCATAGTCACCTCTGGTAAATAGTAGAACTTGTGATCAGACCAGGCTGGTCTGGATTTGTACATTATTCCTCACTGCCAAATTTAAAGTCTTATGATCTAGAAATTATATTGATAGAAGTACCACCTCGTGTGATCAGTATGAAGATTAGAAGTAATATGTATGGAACTCCTGCTATAAAATCTCTTCCACGGGAGGCCCCAACCAAAGGGTCATCACTGTTATTTTAATATTTCCACAAGTGAAACTGACAGACCAAGTTTATTAAAAATGGCAGCATCAAGTAGAAAATGAGACACACTCCCCTTTCAGGGTTTGCTGGTTTGGGTGCTTGTTTGGTTTCCTTCTTTGCTAATACTCAGAGATTCTATTTAGAGTGATTATTCTGTTATTTCTTTGATGACTTCAGAAAAGATAGTTGGGAGCATAAATGGGGCAGCTACTTCTCAAAGTACAACAGAAATTGAATCTGTAAACTGAAACTTATTTTTTTACTTTAAGCAGTTCAGTGTTAAGTATTAGCTAAAGGGCTCTGTTGAGCCTGTAATTTCTATGTATGATTTTGTTTAAATCCAAAACTGTAAAAGATGATGGTGCTGTTTTAATATGAAATATATTGTGCTGTTAGTTTCCTGTGAGGCTATTCCTTAACAAATAATACTTGAGTAAGGGAGCTATGCCCTGTGAGTTTCTACCAATGTTCCTATTTCCAATTTTGCAACAAAATTTCACTTCTTTAGTTACTCTTATGGGGAGAATCGGAATGCCAATGGTTACCTTGATCTAAGCTACCTTATTGAAAAAGAATTTAAGTGGATTTTTGTTTTCCATTAGGTTTTCCTCATGCTTGGTTTTTGGGGTTATTTCAGTGTATTGTACCAGAGCATGAGATTTTTAGTTCATTTCAAATTGGACTGATTTTCTGGTGTTAGGTATTAAAAGCAATTCCAATTGTGTTAGTAATCTTTTTATATACCTAGAATAATAACAGTGAAACCCAAATACATGTGAGATTTTCTTGTCGAATTTAATATTACTATTAAAATCTTTTTTAAGCCTGTGCTTTGAAGCCTTTTGATTGAGAAATTGGCAAAATAATTGAGTGGAATTAGAAATAATTAAACAACTTGAAACAACTCATTGGTCACCCTGGTTATTAAAAATTAAAACACTAAAGATAGACTGAAGTGCGGACTTTATACTCACACCTCCACTACCATCTGAAAAAGAAATACCTATTAATGTTGAAAAATAAAAAAAATGAATAGTTACATGTCTGCAGCAAGTTATTTTCCCCATTCCATTATTGAATTTTCGGATTTTAAAAATATATGGAGTTGAGCTAAATAAATTCATTAGTTCTTTCTTCTATTAAAAAGTATAGTTCTTTGCAACATTTATTTTACATAACAGTACAAAGAGTTACTTTAAGTATAACTTTGCAGGTAAAAAAGATGAAGTATACAGAGGCAGTAGGTTAACATTGCACATAATTTGTAAATTACTACAAAAGGAATTCCATGAGATATACAGAAATTGTTTCTTTAAGAAAAAAGCTATAAACAGTGTTCCATTGTAATAGAATTTTCATCTATTCTAAAATCTTCAGTAGACTGTAACATTAGAAATCACTTAATGTAATGTATCTAGCAATGTAGATATTCTTTCCTGTACAGCCACTATTTAAGATTTTGAAGGAAAAGATATTATCCTTAGATGTTTCAATATGACCATGATTGAGAGTCAGAGTAGCCTTCTTATAGATTATTAAAATTAACCCAAAATTTTCCCTATCACCACAAAAATTCAAAAACTGGAAAAAAAGAGGAAACTCTTGGGGTGTCATTAAGTAGTGTAGACATAACAGTATACATGCTTAAAAGTGATAAAATATATTAAAATTAAGCTATGTATTACAAGAATTGACTTCATTTTTTAAAACATAAGGTAATTTAATATGAGTTTATTTTCAGTTTTATAATAATATGTATTAATTCCTGAAATTAGGGACTAATACATAGTACTAAGGCTAAATATATTATGTGTACTAGCCAGATGCATGTCAGCCTCGTAGCATGTGGATATAGTACAGTCAAGTTGTACCCACATTGTCATTACAATGAAATAATCTGATTTTTAGTTTTCCCTTTTCCTAGAAGGTGATGTTTCTTTCATCTTTTTAGCTATCACTCCAGACTAGTTTCTCTAAATATATGTAGTAGCACTTCTCAAACTGCTACATAGTTCTTCAGAAAATAATGAAATTTGCCAGATAGAACTTAGGTTATTGATTTGATTTTAGATTCCTGCCCTGTTTTATTATTTCTTCCTTATAGATACTTAAAAAAAATTTTCCCCTTATTGTGAGTCCTGTGGAAATAGAAACAAATTGCTCTTTATTCTTAAATTGAGAAGAAAATTACAAAGTAAAATCCTGTGAAATGTGAGTTAGGAAAAACATCCTTGCTTTCTAAAACGTGAGTTTTTCGGGTTGTGTTTTCATTTTGTGTAATCTCTAGGACCTCCCAATTTTCAAGGGCACTGGGGGGAGTATGCAGCGTTTATGTGATGTATGGATGTGTATACATATTCTCCCACATCTGTCCCTACGGACCTATTCTTTGTGAAATCCTAGACCTTATATGAATGCTTAGTTTGTGATTCATGGTGATCAGAGAACAGTTACATAATTTTTCTTAGGGTGTTTATTCAATGTGTGCTGTAAAAAAGAGATGGAAGTTATTTTTTGGTAACCCCACAGTCGCCTTTTTATTGGTGAATTTCTTTTCCTTTTACTGTGACCTGTAAATATCACTGCAGGCTCACTGCCAATTTTGTAAGCCGCTGCCTGCTTCAAAATGGAGGCAGGAAGGTATCCATTTTCATCAGGAGGATGACAGTGTTTCAGTCTTTGCAACCATCTGGAGAGAGGAACTTTTTACAGCAAAAGAAAATGAGGGTTAAAAAATATTTAACAGAAAAGGCGAGGGGGGAAACCAATTAAATTACACCTTATGAATTAGTACTTTTCTACTGTGCTGTCCTGTTTAAAGGAAATATAAACAAGAAAATACACTGGCTATTTTTACAGAGAATTACTTTCCCAAGTCTCATGAGTATTAGTAAACAAACATAAGTAAATTAGATTTTTGGCACACTTTTTAAGTTTATTGTACACACAAATATAATAACGCACTACAAAGGAGGAGCCTCCTCTTCCTGTGTACACACTGATTGTTGGTGGTCTTGTGAAGATACAGGCTTTTAATGGCTCTTTTCATGCATCTCTGCAAAAAGCTGACACTATGGGAATTTAATAGTCCAAGATATATTTATCGCTTTCTGTGGTCTAGATGATTCATCCTTCCCTTCTTTTCTCTGTCAGTCCCTTCCTTCCTCCCTTCAAAAGTGAAAATTGTGATTGAAAAGTAGTGTTTTTCCTGTCTTTTGGGAAAGGCTTGATGCATGGTTTTACCTTTTGCAGGCTTGTGGGTCATCTATGTTTACAAAAAGGAGGACTGCCTAGACTCAGGGCTACCCTAAGGGCATTCCACAGGATATTTACAGTTGGACGTGGTTTATAATATTCTTGTCTGTGACTAGAAAATACCTGGTTATTTACTGTTCACCCAAATATATCGAGCATTTCCTTTTTCTCCTGCTGTATTCTAAAAGAACAGTGTTTCTGGAGTTAGAGACTGGGACTGCATAGCAATACAAACTTAGCATTCTTATAAAATAATGGACATTGAGATGCGTCGGTCAACACAGAAAGCAGAATTCAGTTGGTTCTTTCTTCTCTCTCAGGTCTATGCTCCTTCAGCAAGCACTGCCGACTACAATAGGGACTCGCCAGGCTACCCCTCCTCAAAACCAGCAGCCAGCACTTTCCCTAGCTCCTTCTTCATGCAAGGTAAGGTGTTGCTTCATATGTAAGAATGTCTGTTGGGTCTTGAAATGTCATGTAGGAAGCCAAATCAACAGGGTAGTAGACAAGCATGGAGTATAGTGGAGGTCGTGTTCTTTTTAGGAACTGAATTCTTTAAAAGCTAATTCACTAATGAAAACTTTCTTAGAACTATTTAAATAGTAAGACCTTTTAAGCAATAGTAGAGATTACATTGATCTGCTTCACTTAAAACTGGTGCTACTGTTCTTCCACGGCTGACCTCTTAAGCATCTTTGTCATTCCCAAAACATTTTATGTTTAGAAATGTTTAAGTTGAGAGTATGTTTTAACCATCTTGGATTTAACCAACAGGGAACAAACTCTTCTTTAACCATAATGTAGGTGAAAATTTCAACCACTTACTAATTTGTTAGTAACAACAAGTATTCCATTGAATTGAACTAAAACAGTTAAAGTTTGGAATATTACATGGTGGAAACTCTGAACCATCATGCTAACTGATTTAGAGCAAAACAAAGAAAAAAATCTGTTGGGGGGACAGAATATATAAAATTATAGGTTGAGAAGATATATTTGGTTTTTTACTTGTCCAGTTTACTTAATGGAATATAGAATTTACAGTATCGCATTGTCCCTGGTAGCGTGGCTGCATTGTCTCTGGTAGCAAAGCTTTCTGGAAAAGTCTGAGGTAGTTGAAATGACAGCAGTTACTTCAACAATGGTTTGGGTAGAGGACACTCAGTGAAGGACTCCATCCCTGACATACCCACTATACTTATTTTTAAAATATGATAAACCTTTTGCAAAGTTCCCCTGTATGTAAATGCAGAGTTTACCAGGGACTTCTGTGTCCTGAACTTTAAACATTCATTATATCTGGGTGTGAAAACCTATGAAACTTTTTTCTCTGTGCCACTGGGAGAAGAGATATATCACAGGACAAGGAGGCAAAAGGCAGAAGTGAAACAGTCTGGTGGCTCACTGAGATGTCAGAGGACATACTAGAAACTCTTCTGATTAAAAGAGATTTATCTTCTTTTACTTCAGAGTGTTCACTATTTTTTAGGTTGCTAGTTTACATGTGGAATTCCATGGAAAGGAAGTCCATAAAATTGAATTGTGTAGATCCCGCAGGAATAGAGAGAATGTGTTCCACACCTAATGGAGTTTATGTTATCCTTTGTCTTTGTGAACTGTCCTGGGTGTAACTCCCAGAGGGATGTAGCAAAATAGTCACTTGGGTGTATCAGTGCCATTATAAAAAGGTTTAATTACCTCCTACAGTACACTGTTGCATACATCATCAGTTCTCTGCTTTTTGAGCAGTGGTAGAAATTGTCTGTACAGACACTCAAGGCTTCGACACTCAGAACAGATTTTCATTGAGAAAACTGACAGAATAGGTTGCTTCTATCTGCTTGGGAAAGCAGCTTTCTTGAACTATATACATTGCAGGGTTAGCCAGGTAGATTAAAATTGTAGGCATGCTTACATAGCAGACTACGCAAAATAACGGGAGCAAATTCATTTTTTCTGCATATGAGTACTCAAAAAGAGTAAAAAAAAAAAGAAAGAAATGAGTTGACATTTATGATGAGCACAATTAATTTGCACACGTCTAATTCTATTTTTTCAAAACAACATTATGCCAAGATCATAGGATGTGATAAATATTAATTTACTGTGAAAAGCATAATTTATGTAAAATATGTATTTTTGTAAGTCTGCATCAGATATTCTGTGTTAACAATCCTAAACGTATTGCCACCCTGTGCATCATGTCAGAATGTTTCAAGGGATTCATGTTCAGTGATGCAGAGTCTATATTTATTTGTCAAACATGCAGTTTATTTAAGATGTTAGTGCTCTTGAACTTTATACTTGACTTTAAACTTCTGTAATCTGAGGACTAAAGTACATTCAGTAAATAACTTTTCAAAAAGCTGTTTTCACCTGAGGAGCACAGGTACAACGGCATCATGATTGCTGTCTCATCTTGGCTTCCTTCAGTACAAAAGTACTTGGGACCCAGAGAATTTAAGGCTTGAAACGGAACAGTACTACAGTAAACGATATGCAGAGACGGGGGCACATTTTAAACTCAGATTGTGACTTGTTATGTTTCCCTTTAATTTTTACCTTAATCACAGACATGATTTTGCTTGCATAAGACTTAAAGAAATCTACCATTTATTCTTATCTGTTCTATAGCTAGTCCAGTTCTGAAATTCTAACTTCTAGATTTAAAAATTCATTAAAATAACCAAACCAAAATAATAAACAGCTGCATGAAGATACAATATCAAATTTAACTTCATATTTCCTAGATACCTGCAGGCTTTTTTTTGCTCCTCTCCCCATTTTTAAGTGCATATTGGTAATATAGATTAATGGGTTTTATTTTGGCAGATATATACATGTACATACCATACTTTAATCATTTCATGCTCTCAGCTTCAAAGGCATACTACCTGCTATACATTTAATACCCAGATGAGGGCCTGGTGTATATCAAAAACTCAATTTTTGTTCAACTAGTAAGTAAAGAAAAATAAATGAGTGAATTCTGCATTAGTACAGATCATATTTTGCTCCTCGGTTTGAGAAACAAAAAACAAATCATAGCAATCCCTAATAATGACCTCTAGGCTTTTCCCAGTAATGAAAACAGAATGAAAAGAAATGTAGGAATGCTTTAAATCTGGTGTCAACAAAACATTAACATGCTATTAAAAGCAACTTATATCCATTCCATGTAGCTTTAAAACCTCTTCCCAAGTCATAATTTCTTAAAAGCTAGAGATTATCAAATTTTTCTTATGGCATGTATGTACTTTTAAAAATGCTATTGAAAGTTTAAAATAACTTCATATCTGTAAACCTAAAAAAAAAAAAAAATAAACCTCTGTACTATTTACTTGAAAGCCCTCTTCTTTATATAACATAATTTCATCAGCAATTCAAGCTATTATGGATGGTACAAAAATGAAACCTAGCTTTTTAAATCTGAGTTCTTCTTCACATTTCATTGCTTATGTCTTTACATGCTTTCAAAACTTGTAAACGTGCCAAGTCTGTCTCTACTATTTTATTTTCACCTCAAAGTTTAGGAATAATTTAACATTTTATGTGGTTTTCATAAAAAAAAAGGGGGTCAGAAACTTCTAAATAATGTTTCCTTTGGCATTAGTTAGCTGACCTAACGAAATTCTGTATAGAAGCACACTCTGTTGTTGCTTTATGGTTGTATTTTTACTAAGAACACTAACTTTGTTCAGTGTCTTTGTTTGACAATATAGAACCACTTGGGGGAAAAATAATGATGACTGTCTTCTGATGTAATCAGCTTACCAACACAAAGATGAATACACAACAGGCGATCATTTTCAAGTATATGAAAAAACCCTATTCTATAAGGCAAGGCTGAATGCCTCAGAAAAGTCACAGTTTTCTTTGTCCTTTACAGATGGTCATCACAGCAGTGACCCTTGGAGCTCCTCCAGTGGAATGAATCAGCCTGGCTACGGAGGAATGTTGGGCAATTCTTCTCATATTCCACAGTCCAGCAGCTACTGTAGCCTGCATCCACATGAACGTTTGGTAAGGCTGACTTACACAGAAATGGGGATAACACGGCCAGTTTATGAAATCTCATCCTCGTCTTCCCAAGTGGATACATAAGCATCCTGCAGATAAATGTAAAAATAGCACACATCTCTTATTCCTACATTATATCGTTTCTGTAATCAAAGACACAGCAGAATCAGGTGACCTTTTAAAACTTCTACATCCTCTTTATCATCGTTCTTTTGTTCTCTGTGTTTCTTTCTTTATCATTATGTCATCTTCTCTTTGTACATAAACACACTGCATTTGGATTGCAGATCTCAGCTGTGGCATTCTTTCTCCTTTTTATGCACGATGGATCAGAGGCATAGTAGACTTTGAGAGTACTTATATGCATCACACATGAGCACTTCCGTGGCAGGTTTGACTGCTTGTGATTGAATGAAAGAATTTGCATTTCCATGTTACTACGAGTAGTACCAGTGTAGGCTGTCCATGTAGATCAGATTCCTGCTGCCCGTGTTTTAACTTTAACTCTGCACACTACAACCTGCCTCTGATACTCTGTTTTAAATAAAAACTGCTGGACTATAAAATGTTAAGTCTTTTACTACTACTATAAGGTTCCACTCTATTGACAATCTGTACCTGGTTATCCTTAGTTTATTTCTTTGTGTTGGAGGAAGCAGATCACGTGGCTTTCAAGATCCGTAAGCTACCATAGTTCAAAATCCACTTATGAATTTAAGGAAAGAATATAGATCTTGTGTTGCATTTGAGGTTCGAATCAGATAGGACTTAAATGAAATAATGTATATAGCATTAAAAAAAAAAAAAAACTATGGAAAAGGGCATGGCAGATCCAATGTCCATATAGGTATTTGTATCATTCTTCTTTATCTTGTAGTTTATCCTTATTTCTTCTCATACCCATATTTGTGATCTTTCTTTATTCTGACAAAGATAATGATACTGTCTGTGTCTTTCCTCTCTTTTGTTTAACCATTGTAGATACATAAAAAGGGTCATATGTCCTATTCTGATGATCAAAAAGACTACAGAAGATTTCTCATATCCTCAAATACATATTTAATTGGTCCAAACTAAATTAACAATTTAATGATAGTGACATTGAAAGGTCCGTTAGCCTATACATTCCTGAGAGGCAAATGGGACAGATACAACTGTATTTTATCCTTGTATTTTATCTCCCCAGTTTGAGTGTGTAAATCACAAACTATCTCAAATGATAGCACATTTTCAGTAAATATCAGATGATTCACTTTTAAATTTCTTCTTCTCCCACATCCTACTTAGCAGTATTAGAGTGAAAGTTTTACATTAGAATTTCTTTTGGCAAACATCATTTCTCTGCTGTCATTTTCTACTTTTTTAGGAACTTGTGATCAAAACTAGGGAAGTTTTAATGACAAATAAAAGGTTTTGGCACTATGCTAATGTATTTGAAATTCAGTCCTTTGAAGAGTTGTCCATTTTTATTTCTTATCATGTTCTAGAATATTGCATTAGATTTTTTTATTTTATCCTAATTAAGAAACTATGTTCAATGCATTACAAAATGCAGTTCCAAAATGAAAATCAATTGCATTCTTTTTAGAAAAAGTTTTAGTGCACAGTACAATATTAACAACCAGGAAAGTAATTTGGAAGGAGTTACCCAGTAGACTGCACAAGATGCCAGTTCTGTAATACCACGTTTATCACCAAAATTAAGGTTTTCGATCTTAAAATAATCAGGTAGCAGCAAATCTCAGAGGATATAGTTTTTGTTTAAAGGGTAAATGAATAAGGTGTCTGGTGACGTATCCTAAAGAGTTTTCCCACTGAGAGTACAACTACTGAATTATTACCTCTAGTTATTGTGATTTCAGAATTTAACCATAAGAAAATCTCTCACTGGAGTGACTCAAAAGAACCAGACATTGATTGAAAATAATTTGAATACACATCAGCAGTCAGTGTCTTTTCACTTGGAAATAATGGTAATGCCTTACAAATGTAGTCTGTAGCATTTGGTTAGTCCCCTGCCAAGAAAAGAGGGCATTTAGGAAAAAGAAGAGAGCCGGGATATAATACCGTTCAGTGGCGCAGCCCCTGCCTGCAAACGTGAGGTCCTGACTTCCATTCGCAGTACAGAGAAAGAGAAAGACAGAGAAAGTGACAGAGACAGAGACAGAGAGAGCGCTTTCCCTGAATTTATTTTGGATATGATTTGAACACATGAGTATCATCTCTACAGGTAAAGCATTTTACAAACATTATTGCCTTCATCACTTTATGCCATATTACAATAGAATGTGTAATTATAATGCTTAAAATCCACATATTTCAGTAATAACTATCAAGTCACCAATTTTGTCTTAACTCTCCTTTACAGTTTCAGCCTCTACAAGAGAATCCCACAACTAATCACTGCTTGTTGCTGATACGTACACAAAATCACCCAGATGAATGAAGTTTGTGGTTAAGCTTTGCAGTGGGCCATTGTAGGAGATTTAGGTTTGGAATGACTTGCAGTGCTTCTAAAAATAGGATAGAGCCCTCATTGTCTGGCATGATTTAGGCATGGTCTTTGCTCTACAGAGCGAAGTATTCCTGAGAGTCTGACATTTTAGTATAAAGGAAGTTCTGTTGTCTTTTATCTTTGTAACATAAACCTTTACCCCAGTACTTTTTAGCTGGGGCTAATTCTGCCCCTCAGGGAATGTGTGGCAATGTCTGGAGGCGTTTTTGGTCCTTAGATGCTACCATAGTCCAGTGGGTAGGGACGCTGATAAACATATTGTGAACACAGGAGAACCTCTGGCAAAGAAGTGTAGCACAAAAGATCAATAGTGTCAAGGCTATGAAACCTTACCCTAGCCCTAAACGTGATTTGTTACTAGTTATATGCTATTGATTATTACATTTTGCTACTCTTTGAATTATCCAGTGCATTGAGTGATAGAAAACATCACCAAAGCCAGTTTCTACCATTTGTTCCATCCACGTCTCTAAATATATTAAGTAACAGAAGTAAAAATAAACAAGCCCTGGGCATGGAAAACCACTCATTTTATCTCACTCCCTTAAGCAGGACAGACAGTAATAGGTGGAGGAAGAGACCAAGACTACCTCTTTGAACTGATCCCTAAATCCTCTGAGAAAGACATTATTCACTCATGTTCTCTGTAGTGTATGCTTACATCTCTGAGTGATGGTAGTTTTCAAGGTACTTCTCATTGAAAAGTAATCTAGTTATAAATCTCAATTTCTTTCAGCATCTAATTTTCAATGAGTCTCTAAAAATAACTGATTTAACATGGATTGTATTAGTTTCCCCATTAAAATCTATGAGGGTTAATTTTTATTTCTATTTTCTGCACTTAATGTTAACTGTTTGTGTGTCAAACCCCTAATTACTTCCAATAAAATTTAAAGTGCCCAAAGAGTCTCACTGACAGGACTATCTTTTCCTGCCTTACTTTCTTATTGTTAGTACTTATTTAAATGTGTTGGATGATTCTTTTCCTCTTTTTAAAAATTTCTTGCATACTTTGGACTGATTTCTAATTTGTTTTCCAAAAGCTCAGAAAAGAATAGGGCTATGTGGAAGTGAAGTAATGCCACCATCTTATTTTGTTTTATTTTTATTTTCCTACATTCCATTTTCTTTCTCTCTTTATTATATTGCTTAGCTCTATCCCTGGTCTTCTAAGTTTGGTGTCGCGTGGCCCTGCCAGTCTTTCTGATTAGCTGCAGGAGAGGCCCACACTATTGTTCTCCAGCAAAAATAACACGGACTACTTGGGGAATTCAGTTGACAAGTTGAAATGATTTTTAAAAATAGCCAAAAGAATTTTTTGGTCCAGAAAAAAGGTCCATGAAATCTAAATTTTGAAAGGCATTTTCATGAAGTTGGCAAGTTTATGCATATCACACCTACTTTTTCAATAGTCTTTTAAATTGGATTCTTCTTTGTGAGTGGAGGTAAATATTTTCAAAGGCCACCATATGACACTGGAATATGGATTCATTTCCCAGATGATGTATTGCAATCCGTTTCCTAAACCCTAACTAATGTACTGTTCATTGAGCACCAAGTGTTAGTATGAGTTTAATACTTAGCCACAAGTTGTGATATGCAGAGATGTGAGCATCATTCTCTGCCCTTAAAGTGCTTATAGTCTAGGTGGAAATAAATTTGAAGGAGCCAGCAAAGGAAGGCAGTGCACCTGAGCATTAAATGTCCCATGACAGAATGCCAGCACATTAGGGATGCAAAGCAGGACTCATGGAGATGTTGGAAGAAGTATGCAAATCCTCCAGAATGGGGAAGAACTCAGCATGGTTCTCACAAAATTATTGGGGAAACACCGAAGTACCACTTCTACTGCTAGTGAACAGAAGCTTGGGTCTTAAGTACCCTTGAATATAGGTACCATATTCAGTCTCTTAATTTTAAATTAAACAGTTTTAATGGTATTTCCAGTAATCATGTGATGATCATATCTCATTAATGTATTACAGATGAGGGAAAACTTTATTTTAAAGAGTTTTCTCTTATGTATCTGCAACACATTCAAATGCTATGAGAACCATTTTTAAGCTGTTTTATCTTGAAAGAGAAAATAGGTGGATGTTTCTTTAGTAGTCTGTTCACTTTCATATAGCAGTGAATTTGCCACCTCATGAGCTCTGTTGTCTGCCCCAAGAAAAGTAGCTTAATTGGGCAAGTAATATGGTAACCAAACTCAAAGCCAAGTCTTAAACCAAATGATTCTATAAAGACGTTCTTTTTTCCATAGTCAGCTATATGGAGACAACATGTCCATAAAGAGCTCAAATCAAATAAGTTATGCTCAGTTCCTTTTCGGTTCAATTTTAATTCAATATATCCACAATTTAAGGTTTTATGTATTTATGCTTTAGATTAGAGAAAAATTTAATCATTCGTTCTTTGTACACTTTTTTATGTACCATTTTCTTCTTGCTGCTAAGATTCATAAAGATGGTCCAGCTTGCTAGGTAGCAGCCATGAGACACATTATTTTTTGCCCCACTTACTATCCAGTAGGTCAGGATGAACTGCAGTGCAAATCATGTGGCTCTGAAGGTTGTTTGTTCATTATATACTGTAATCTTTTCCTTTTGATCAATAGGCTATCATAAAAAGTAATGGTAAAGATGGCCTTTTATGTTACTGAAATCTTGGAGGTGTGTTTAAGCAGTAATTTATAGATTACAGATTGTGTTCATTTCTCAGTATCATGTGCCACCATTATATCCCTCTACATTTGATGCAGACCCAAACTATACACCTATGTATTTTAATATTTGAAAAATGAAAGCTGTCAGGTCTAAGCAAGGTGCATTCTTTGCTATTTCAAAATTGTAAAAGCTATCTCCATTGCAAAATGGAAAGTACTAGAAGAACTATTAGGAAACTAATACACTAAAACTTGGGTGATTGAACATACTCTCCTTTTGCTGCCTTTTTCTCTAGAGCTACCCATCACACTCCTCAGCAGACATCAATTCCAGTCTTCCTCCGATGTCCACTTTCCATCGTAGTGGCACAAACCACTACAGCACCTCCTCCTGTACGCCTCCAGCCAACGGGACAGACAGTATAATGGGTGAGTGACAGACATGCCAGTTCTAATGTTGACAGTCCCCGTCAGGGCCTGATAGTACAGAATCGCTCTTTTTTTTTTTAAATCTTTCTATAACCGGAAAACAACTGGGCAATATTTGTCATTTACCAGAATGAACAAACAAATGAGCCAAACAGAAATAATCACTGGATTGACCATAATCACTTTTTTGGTTGCAAGAAACTGCTATTTGAGTACTTTGTCCATTATGAGTCATTAAATTAAACAGGATTTAAATAGACCAAAGCTCCCCTTTGCGTCTTATAGTCTCAAACAGTGAGCAAAGTGAATTTTTTATTAGACCAATCATTATAGACTAACGAGACAGAGGGCAGAGTAGCTCTTTTTTTTTTTTTTTTTTTTTTTTTTTTTTTTTTTTTTTGTCTTTTTCCTTTTTATCGGTACCAGGGATCAAACTCACGACTGCCTGCTTGCAAGGCAGGCGCTTATGCCGCTGAGCTAAATCCCCAGCCCCAATAGCTCTTAATATGGTTATTAACCACTTGCCAAATACCAGCCACTCTGCTATAACATGCCACTGTCTTAGGAAGACTAGTTTATGTGAAATTGTCATGTCACTATTAATAGCTAGATGAGCTTGATCTCCTGAAAAATGCCACTATGGAGCCCTTCTGAGAAAGAGTGTTTCTGATCACTTAGGAGCAAGGAGATAGCGAGGCGTCCATGGGCCTAAAATGTCTACTGCTCTCTTTGAAGTAATTTATTGTGTTAAGACCGAAGAACATTGTCAATGCTACCAATGAACTGACCTGCAGTCTCCTCATTTTCTGTAATGTCCATTAGTAGCCTCTCTCCTTAAGGAAGATGATTCCCATCTGAAATGCCCTCCTCAAGGAGCACCTAGTCAGCATGTCCCGCTTCACCCAGGGAACAGTGTAGGTGACAGAGGCGCAGCTGCCCACTTCTGACTCTGCCTTGACAGTCTTGTCTTTCAAACGGCAGCACGCCTAGATGCTCCCGGACCTTTCTAGAGCCCCAGATTTCATCATTCACCACCCACTCCACATCCACACTTTGCTTGGCCTTAAGACAACTCCCAGAGGGTCACCGATAAGAATACTTGGTGTATATTTTTGAGAGAACATCTTGTGACAGAGTAATGCTGCTGTTTATTTCTTAGTCCTTGGCAGTTCTGTTTTCTTTAGATAGTCTATAGAACTTTGGCAAGTAGTGTGAATCACTTATGTGGGAGAGTTTTTGATGAAGGAGATGTGTTTTGAAATGTTGCAAATATAATTTCTGCCTAAATAATACCCACTCTGCTTATTTGGTAATTTATTTCACACTTGAAATGAGCCATCTCACAGCCCTCCGCTATCATGTCTCACTGAGAAACGAATTTAGGAAAGAGTTTCCGTTTCTGTAACTTTTCATAATAAAGTGTCTACAAGTGTGTTACACCAGTTTGACCTTGGAGAGCTATAGACAGAGGTGACCTGGGGAAGTTTGGGTAGCTATCAGTGCAGTTTTGGCAGATTTTTAAAACAAGAAGAAAGAAAGAAAAGTGCAGAACTGAAAGATTGAGAAGAGCATATTTCACTTCGTTGTGGTTTGACAAATGGAAAGTCCCTTTCGGCAGTCATGAGGTTTGGTTACAAAGAAGGATGACCGGTCATTCATCCTATTACATGACTGGTTTCTTGTCTGCTTGTGGTTAACTCATTTTGTTTTTCAGAAATATTTGAAGGTGGAAGAGACCCTTGAGTTGAGGAAAACATGCATTGGTACTTTTGAAAAAAAGTTTTATAGGTTGATTTGCAAAATAGCCTTTCTGGGAGAGAGGCCATAGGATGTGGAAAAGAAGAATATTATGGGATGGTATAAAGCATCATACATGAGCTGTAGATAGCTCAGTCCCAAGTCTCAGTGAGGGTAAGATTTGCTTGGTTTCAACTGTCTGCCTAATCAGTAGTTTGTGGATTAGTAAGACAGTCTACCCAGTGAGGGTGGTGGGTGACTTTTGCTAAGGGTTCAGCTATGTGCTAAAGATGGATTTAACTTTCTGTAGACTATACAGTGCTGTTTAAGGATGTAGACAGTAATTAGAGTGCTAATTTAAAAAGAGAAGTACAAGATTTCTGGAACTCGGAGAAGGACTTTTAAAGGAATTTCTTATATAAACTATCTTCCAATGAGAGTGTCAGAATCCATTAGCAAAATGTGAAAAAGTCTTTCAGGAAGTAGTTAGGTGGATATGCAAATTCATCTTCTTGGTAGAACAGGACCTTATTTATTTGCATAAATAGTATAGAAATTAGTTTAAGGTTACTTTAAGGGAGAGCATTCTAGAACATTGAGTATTTTCGCTAAAATAGTATGTTCTTCAATTCCTTATGTACAAATGTAGAGGACAATCCTAAACATCATGATAAGTCTCAGTGTTGCACAAAGTCTTTTGCTTCATGTTTCTTCTCGCATACATTCTCTTGGGCTCTGGTTTGGTTTTCAGAGTGTGGTGGAAGCATGTCTATATAACAAGAAGAGAAGCTTTCTCTTCTGATGTTAGAGATACTTCCCTAACAAACAGTATGAATTAATAGGATACATCTGTAGACTTTTGAAAGTATTTGGCATATACTCACTCATTCTAAGACACAGGAAATAAAGAAATATTACGTTGCCTGTATCTCAAAGAACAAACAGAGCTAATTAAATAATTGGTAAATAGGGAACACATAGCCTGACACATGTTTAAAATTACACACATGATTCTGTAGAAAATAACTGTAAGCAATACTAATGCTGTAAGAATGGGGTTCAGGCACTAACACATGGACATCATATTTTTTTGTTTTTTCTTGATGGGAAGTTGCAAAGTGGTACAGTCTTTTCATACACAACCTGATGCCTTAGAAGGTAGCTCTTTCAGGTCAGACCACTGCTGTAAGTCTCAGCTGCCTCTGATAATAGGTCTTCTTGTTGGTTAGCAGTAAAAACAATGCAGTGACCTGAAGTTAAAATGGCAAGTGGCTGTGGGAAGAGATGCGGTCTCTAGGACCATCAGGAGGAACCCTCTCTGAATGCTTTCTCCCTGGCTTCTTCTCTGTCTGCTGTACCTCAGAGACAGAAAGTGCTCGCTGAGGTTTAGAATGGCTTAATATTTGTTTTGCTTAGAAAAGTGACCATTTTACTTGCTTTGTTTCTCCCTTTTTAATTCCCAATATCTTTTATTTTTTAGAAACCCTCAAGCAGGATAATACTTAGATTACATTAATGATGAGATTTTTTTTTTAAAAAAAAAAGACAGTCATTTTGCATTCTCAGGAAAATTACAGAGTGAAATATTTCGTGACGTATCATCCATTCCTCTTCTCTCAAGCTTCACTAGCAACCTCTGCAGATTACAGTCACCATTTCCAAACTGGAATCCGAGTCTTTTAAACACCCCAGAATTGCATGAAGGTAATAGGAGAAAAATAAGAACTACAGCAGTCAACTGGTCTAGTGGCTGGTGAAAGAGAGAAGCAGTCAGAAATCTTTAGGAGTATCAACAGTACCAGAGCCCTTCAGTTGAATTCCAGAATCACTTTCTGTGTTAGGTTCCTGGTATTTCTCAAAAGCAGTGCAGTCCAGTGCCTCAGACTGTGAGGGTATGTATAAAGCAGGAAGAGCAGTGAATTATTAGATTTCAGCCAGAGAGAACTATCTACAGGATAGTAGCCATGCACATTTTTTTCCATCCTCATGTTCCCTTCCTGCCTGCAGTAATACAGGCTAGGAGCCCCAACTGATCAGGAGTGAGATGACGTTTGTCCAGGACAGTCTAATATACTACTCAAGGCTGAGATCCTGTGACTCTCTCCAGCTCCTAGCTGGAACTGACATCTGTGTACATTCACAGAGTATAGCCCTTGTGGTTGGGACTGTCCACTCCTTTCTCCTCAGAGGAATCAGGCATGTAACTAACATAATGGTTATAAGTGTTCCTGTGTTATTAATCTTAAACTGGGCTGCTTTATAATGCATAGTGTTTCCCATGGTTTTAAACCTCAAACCAAAGTAGTGCTGAACAGAATATCAAGATTGATTTAATAACCATATGCTAAAGATTACTCCAGAATAATCTGCTTCAGGAATTAATCTGGCTTATAACTTTCACTTTTAATGACATGTTTTGATGACATGATGCATTTGTGGATGCAGCTTTCTAGTAGAAACATTTTGTCCCTTTTCCCTTGAGGACTTGGTTTCACTGTAATTTTATTATTAGAGTAGTCACATAATATTCACTGTGTATTTTACAAGGATCTTGAGCAGTCAAATACAGTTGTGTGTTGAGCAGGCACAAGAACATAAGTTTATCCACCAGTTTCAGGGCTCCACAGTTGCAAAGACCACCAATAGAGAACAATAAATGAGTTTAAATCTTTACCACTCTGGGCACATGTCGTCACAAGGCCCAACTTTCCCCTGAATTACTTGAGATCCCTCCTGCTAAGTATTAGTACTTTGAAGCCTGTGTTTGAGCTTTTTCTCTGAAATTGTTGTCTATGAGAGTATTGGAAACATTCCCTTTTCGTGTCATCTTTGTAGACAAACTCTTGGCATTGTGAGGCTGTTTCTAGTAGTTTAATAGCATGAGGTCGTAAAGGCACAGTTCAGAAAAACCTGTTATAGCATTTGTTCTCTTTTAGGCCAGCACTATGAATTGTACTTTGTATCCCTTTGATGTCCTCATGATGTTCCCCATCTCAGGTTATGAGGTCTCAATAAAGGGGAAACACATTTTCCAGATTCTGAGTGTTCAGGAGTAGTCCCCAGGCACCCTTCATCGTGGTATTTTATTTGGGGTGTGTCCTGATGGGAATGGCCATCTCTCCAAAGCTGCGGCTAAGACGGAGGGTGGTCCAGTGTGTAGCCCAAACTTTGAAACCCTCCTTCCTGCTTTATCTTGCCTCCAGCCACAGCACCTGTGTTCAAGCCCTTTGAACAATACTTGGGTGGTTGGCAGTATTGAATCCTCCTACAAAATTACAGCTCCTCTTAATAACTGCTCATCTTCTATTCATATTTATGTTACAGCTTTACCTAGTGGCTGATTACTTTATCTCTTGAGCAAATGAAATTGATTAGGACCAAAATAATATATCAATACCAAGTAGAGGCAGTAGTTCTCATCTTTGCTTCTATTATATGGACCTTTTGGTACCTCCTAATAATACCTGTTGACAAAGACTTGAGCCTAGAAGAGTAATCAAGCCTTAATGCAAAAAGGCAGATTTTATTTTTTATTTTTGCTAAACACAACTCATTTCTCAGGGCATACACAAAGAATTATGATACTTGACAATTAAAGTTACACCTCCTTTCTGATTCTGTCTGCCCTTTAATATATCAATCAAAGAAGTAAAAAGAGAGATCTCTTAAGAGAAAAACCCATCTGACTTAACATATTTAGGGAATCTGGAAAATCTGTCCCTTTCAGTGTTTCCTGGAACAGGCCAGAAGGCATTCCAAGGGAAAGGGTGAACAGGCCCCAGTAAATTGCTTTGAAATTTAAGCCCTTAGGTTTGGCTGTCAAGCTGCTGCGAGGTAAAAATGACTTCATGTTAAAAAATAGTCCATTCTTATCAGTGGTTTCCATGAGTAGCCTTTGTAGTTTTCTCAAACATTTTCATGACAAGGTGAGGTAAGAAGTTGATTCTATTTTTGATTCTGCTTCCTGAATCTTAAATATCTCCTTGTATAAAGGTAATAGAAAGCTTAGTTAGAAAGATACAACACCATCATAATAAGCATCTCTTGACTTTTCTAATGTATGATTCTAATGTATGATTTTATATGATATATGATTTAATTTGTGGAATATTCTTTTTTATTTTTTAAATTCTAGTTTTGTGAGCAATTTTTTAACTTTATAATCTTCACTTTAAAATTGTTCAAAGGAAGAATTAATCTTGAAAGCTACTACTGTAGCAAATTTTTATCTATAATTGAAACAATATCTTGTTCTTTTTTAGTTTAAGTTCTTTTTTAGATAATGTGATTTTTTTTTCCCAGTGTGGCTCTTAACTTTCATTTCATGGAGATCTTTATTCAAATCAAGCAGTATCACAAATTACTTTGACTGCCATATTTAATTTTTAAGTATGTAATAATGAAAAGGTAACTGTTTCTAGGAAAAAAGTAGATAATTGCTCCAAAATACCATCGTAATGCATGCCGAAAAAATGGTAGTGTTGTGTGGACTTTAAGGTCTTGCATTCTTTCCAGAATTGTCTTCAGTTTTTGAAGAAATCCTTAATGTGGAAATTCTTTTTTTCACATTAGATATAATTTCAGTTACTTTATGTTAAATATTTTAATGTTTGGTATCCATTCAAGTTGCTTCCCATGGCTCAATTATATATTAGATGCTTGTTTCAAAGAATTTGCTTGTACTTATGACCTTGAGTACTAATAATTCATGTCTTTAATTAAAGTATTGCCAATTTGTGGTATGAAAACAAAGCTTTCTCAGGTGTTTTTATCATATACCGGCTTTCTTTCACTATTTTGGTGACGAATGAATTACTATTTTTATGGGTTTTGTTAACCAAATAAAGCATATATTAAAAGACAGTCTGACATGTCCAATATATAAAAATAAACTGCATAAATTAACTATGCTGAACCGAGGTTAGGGGAATGAAATTAAAATCTAGAGAAGTAGAGGATGTGACTGCTGAGGATCGGTGAGCACCGCGTGTCTCAGTGGAGAAGAAGATGATGACACCGTAGCCAGAAAAAAAGGGCTCCCCATCCACAAATAGGACTGGAGGGTTTTCAGCATCACAGTGCTAATGGACTGAACTCAAGTCCTTTACACTGGGCCTTTCTTAAAAGTTCTTTGAGACCAAGTCTTGCTAAGTTGCCTGAGCCAGGCTTAACCTTTCTGTCCTGCTGCCTCAACCTTCCAGAGTGCTGACACTACTATCGTGTGCCACCACCCTTGACTCAGTAGAAACCGTTTTCAGTTGCAGAGGTATGCAGTGACAGTTTGCTTGGGTTCATCAGTTGACTTAAGTGTTCCTTTTTGTTGCACAAAATACTACAGAAATATTCTGCAGGAAGGTTTTTTATGTAAGTCCTGTGCCTCTTTGCTAGCATTGAAGCTTTAATTAATTGCAACATTCCCCAAGTTCCAGGCCGTACTTCCATACGGAGGGCTCAGAGGAGCACTGGCAACCCCATTTAGGCACTTAGTTATAAAGCAGGTCACCTTCAAAAGACACAGACTCATTGAGCTAGCTTTGATTTATGTACTGGAATACATACCTTGTATTAATAATACTTTTATAAATAAAAATACTAGCATTTAAGGTGCTAATATTACATGGACTTACTTTATTTCTGGAATTTGAGACCATATTGAATTTTACTAGTAGTATAACCTACATAAATTATTTTTAGTGTGAACACAAACTTAAGTATATGGAAAACATGTTTAAAATATTGAAAGTATTTTCTCTCATTTATAGTTTTTTCACTTCACTCACTGTTTAAACCTAAGAAAATTTTACTGTGTATCAGAATTTTCCTGATTTAAGAACAAGTGTAAATTATTCATGAGGATAATTAATTTGATGTAGAAAATATACAAAGCTGGACACTGAGGACTTCAGAGGCCTGAGAGTGCTACATACTCCTTAGCCATGACTGCCGTGTGCTGGCTGCTTCCAGTCACCGATCACTACTCATAAACAACAAGGGGGAAAGGAATAGTAACTAAAATACTTTGTCTTTAAATCAAGGTGTCAGGTTTATATTTTATCTGTAAAAAATGCAACATGAATATATTTGACATCTACCTCAGCAAACAAATTAATGCTAATTAAAGATTAATGTGTTGTAATTAGCATTAAAAATGCAATTAAATTGTGAGTAAATGGACCAGGAATAGAAAATTGTTAGACGTCTCACTGCCTGGTTTTCATATTCTGCCCTTTGTTTTTGCAGCAAATAGAGGAAGCGGGGCAGCAGGCAGCTCCCAGACTGGAGATGCTCTGGGGAAAGCACTTGCTTCGGTGAGGAAATATTGACTTTGGACTCCATATGCACCATTGTAGCTGGGTGAACTTTAATCAGAAGTGGACATTTGGAATTTTAGAAAATGAATGGCAAATAGCTTTGATTTTTGGAAAATGCTAGCTTTCTTGCATAGCACTCCTTGGAAACTTTGAGGAGAAACCTCCAGGCTATGGCTTGCCTTTTCTTGTTTCTTAGTGTTGCTAGCCACATCTACATATAGATCTGAGGATGCTTTCTGGGACATTTGATTTCTAGATTTTTCTATGCAGATTTCTAATTTTTCTCTAAAGTAATTTGGATATTCATTGACTTGCTAAGATTGACTTTGAAAGGGGCAGTTCTAAAACATCTTGGAAAGGCATTTGAAAATCAAATGATAGTAACTGGGTTTCTTGGGAAATGGTCACATTGTTTAACATCGGAGGGACTCAACTGCTTTGATTGACCCACCTACTGCCAGGAAGGTAGAAATGAATATTTTTCATGTTTCCTAGTGACAAAATAGCTATCCCTTCAAAGCAAAACAGGATCATTTGCAAATATAAGTAGAGATTTGTTTCTTTAAGACTTTCTGTCTTTATTTGCTTTTTCCTTACCGTTGGAGCATAAAATAAGTTCATTTTACATTAACATTGTGTCTTAAGCAAAACTTAATTTAATCAGGGCCTAATCATGCTATGGAATCAAATGCCCTAATTATAGTAAAGTAGGTGGAGCCAAACACCTCAGAAATGATACTATAGTTGGCCTGTAGTTTTTAGAGGAAAGAAAGGAAATTAGGTAGTAGTGTCTCTGTGGCTCGCCCATGGCCACACAGCTAGTGATCCAGAAAGGATTAGTCTGAAGACTGCCAACCTGTTCTTTTCCCATTTCTCTACACCACTCTGTAATTCTTTGGAAAAAATTCATTGTTTTGTTTTGGATTATTGACATTACAGTTGTTACATGTAGTTTGAGATTTGTAAGTTTTAAGTAAGTTGCATTTGTAGTGTTGTAGTTTAAAAATTTTACATTTTATTCCTAATAAATGAGGGGTTTTTTTTTCTCTCCACTGTTTTAAGATCTATTCTCCAGATCACACTAACAACAGCTTTTCATCAAACCCTTCAACTCCTGTTGGCTCTCCCCCTTCTCTTTCAGGTATAGTATTTGAAATCCCATTTCATTATAAAAAACATTTTATGTGAATGATTTCCCTCTTCTACTTGTGCTCTAGTACTTAGACACTCACTGCTTTTCAAACTCTCAAATCATAATGTTTTCATACTTGGAAACAGAAAAAGGTGAGAGAGACAGATTACAATATAACAGGACACTTGCATCCAAAATTATTCTTATGAATTAAATGATCCTTTTAGGGAGCACAGGCATAAGAGAAATTTATTTCATTAAACTCAGCTCTGTAAAAAAGATACCTAACAGCAGCACGATATGTTCCAATAAGACATCTCAGATGAAAAACTCAGTTCATATAGCCAAAAGTATGAACACAGACAACATAGTCATCAAATTTAGGCCATTTAAATGGCTCATTTTCTGCAGACATTTTAGCTTTCCGGATTCCCTGCAAAGTGCATGTCATTGGGATGTTTGGGGAAAACTATAATTTTGTAGATAAATTTAAAGTAATTGCCTGGACTTAAGGGTGTAGTTGCCTTTAAAATATGACAAATTAACATGACCTATCATTTAAAATAGAATAATTGTTTTAAGTTGCAGAATTATGTCTGGAAGTAAATCATTCCACTTTTCGGTGATGCTTTTTATTGCCCTCCTACATAAATACTTCCAGAAAGCCTTGCCTGGAACATGCACCATTCTTCGTGAAGAGTGCAGGTGACTCCCAACAGTGTGTACCTGATTGAAAACTGACTTTACTCTGATTGTTAGTGGAGTCACTTGCGTCTTTGAATCTCACTCTTTGTATGCCCCATATAAGCTGGTTTCCTTGTAGAAAATGGGGTTTTCAGATGATAGACATGGCTTAGAAATGATTTCATGTCATCCTTTTCAAAGCCTGTCTGATAAGGAACCACCACAGAGTTGGAAGAGGGAGGAGGGATAGTTGGATCCTGAAGTGACGTATCCAAGAGATCAGGTCCAAATGTGGAAGAATGGAATTGCTTTTAAGAATGAACAATAATGAAATATTCTCTGTGGCACAAATGGGAAGTGGAGTTTGTTAATTGCTACATTCTGGTGCAACACGGATTTTTAAGCTATAAAAAATGATCTCAAGTGTCAGTGTCCAGAACCAGAAAAGAAATGGGCAACAAGGACTTGAGGCAGGTGAACTCTACATTCCACATTTCAAACAAAACATCTCTAATTTTATCTGTTTTTAACTTGGAAAACTAAAATCTGTAGCTTTAAAGAGTAAAAACAACTAATGTAGTCTAATGCCCCAATTTTAAAGATACAAATACTGAGGCCCATAAAGGGCCTTGACGGCCAGAAAGACTGAGTGTCTTACCAAGGTTACCCCAGTAGTAGTAGCAGAGCCTTGTGGGAAAAGCTAGGACTCACTATTCAGCCACTCCATTTATGAATTATGGCGGGAGAGAAAAATCAGGATATAACCATTCTGAGAAACGTCACAGCCTGAGTAACTTGCTCAAGGTAAAGGGCACAGAAACAAGGCTGGAGATACCACTTTTTGGGTCCTGCTAATGCATCCTGAAAAGTCATGTGTTGGTAAGAAAGAACTCTTAGGAAGATTATAAATAAGGGGACAGATTGCTATTTTCACACTGACAGCTCTGTCCAAATTCCGTCAAGAAAAGTAATTGAACAAAATATTCTATTTTTGTTTAGCATAAAAATACACAGGCATACCCAGAAAAGATGGAAAGAATAGCTTTTAAAAAGTGCTAACAGGATTGGGGCCTGAGATTTCAGTGAGATCATAGCTATTATTTTTTCCCATTTTTGGATTATGTATTTTTCTCTACTCGGTGTATGTTAAATTTAAAATGGGTTTTCATTTTATAGGTTAGACATAGAATATGTATTTTAATAAGAATTGTTCTTGCAGCCAGGAATATAGCTCAGAGGCACAAGCGCCTGCCTGGCAAGCACAAGATCTTAAATGCAATTGCCGGTACAAAAAAAAAAAAAAAAAAAAAAAGCATTCGTTACCTGAAGTTTAGTGAATCATAAAATAATTGTTTTCTTTAGAAAAGTTGCTTCATTTTTAATATTACATGGGGTTTTAAAATTTCAGTTTAGTGGATTACTGCTAACTAATCTCATCCCTGTGAAAAGTTCCTAGAGGATCACTAGTATTGTAGCATGCCCAAGGCTCTTGGTTAAATCCGTATCACTATACACACAAATACACACACACATACACACACACACACACACACACACACACACACACACACACGAATGATTCTAAACATATATCTCACTTCCTAGATTATTTTTCAGACACGTGGCTCTTTTCCATTAATGAGCAAATTTTGTTGAATATAAACTGTTCTTGCATAAAAGTCTTAACCAACTCCCTCTCGTGCTCTCAAAAGCACCTCGACAAGATAGTGACAGATTTTTCTCCACCAGGGGCTTTTCTAGCTGAATTCCCACTCAATTAAATTGTTTCCTTTTAGTGAGCAGCTGGAGGGAATTGTAAAATATGCAGTCATATTTATATTTCAAACAATTTATTTGCCCTAAAATTTTGATCTGAGAAGTTTACATATGTTTACCTTAATGTTTAAGTGAAAATCAGCATTACTGTTTACAAAGTGACTCTTTTAAATGTAATGTTGAATTTAAGTTGATAGAGTCCTAACTGTAATTCTCATTTTAATGTCAGCAGGCACAGCTGTTTGGTCAAGAAACGGAGGACAGGCCTCATCTTCTCCCAACTACGAAGGACCCTTACACTCCTTGGTATGTCTCATGTTGCTGATTCCAGCCATTTTCAGATCACATTTTTCCTATTTGGTCTGCTTGACTATAGTATTCCTGCTTTTGCTCGTCTTTGTAACTTTAAGTCCTTGTGAACACATCAGCTTGGCTGGAACCCAAGATAATAGGCTCTGCTTGTTCTTATGTGTCCACGGTGACCCCAGTACTACCACAGGGGAAGATCCAGGGCTTTAAATTCTAACACCACATAGAAGACTGAAAATCTCAGAATGGTAATGCTTCCCTCCCCAGCAAATTTTGGGAGAGATCCTTGTGGATGATTAAGTGCTGAAGCTCTGGCACAGCTGCGTAGCCAGAATGGTAGAATCTTTGCTTTGCTATATTGCCACTTGGCTTTCCAGAATAAGAAGTTTCTGGTTTTCTGTTTAACCTGCAAGTAAGAGGCCTAGCCACTGTTTATTTCCTCATTCACTCCTAGGCATCCAGTAATGTGATTAATAGTAAAGAAGTGCCTATTCTTTCAGGAGGAAATAACGGAACATTTCCATAGGCATAATTTGAATTATAAATACTCATGATGATTCACTGTCTGACACTTTAGTCTTCCTCAGCTTGTGGTGGATGGGGCTGGAATTACATAGGAAACAACCCTGATCCAGGCAGTTTTCAGGCTGCACACAAGTCAGATGGGGAAGGGTGGCAATGAGGGGGGAGCCAGGTAGTCCTTCAGAAGGGCTGTGTTTTCCTCTCTCCATCCAAACTTGAGGTCAGGATACAGGAAGGAATAGGTTTGTCTGTCTAATTAATGCTGTCTTGCAGGATTTACCATTTCCTTTCTTTCCTTTTATCTTGCTCTTTAAGGAAAATCTAAAAATGAAAGTACAGAGGTGGATTGTGTTCTTTCCCACTGGGTGTGAATCATCTTGCTAAGCGTTTTAACCAATAAAGACAACTGCTTAGAGAGGCAATGTATACATGACCCAGTCCATTAATCTGCAAGCTGCATCTAAATAGTGCATAGTTGTTTCAAATGTGTATCTTTATCCGTCATTTTCCGGGGTTCATTCATCCAAAAACCAGACTTTGTCCCACTACAGAGCTGTAAAAGCTGTTTTGGAATTGTGGATTACAGCTTTGCTTCTTTATGGAGTCTGAACGCTCAAGAGGGTATTCATAAACACAAACTCCTCTCTCCTCTAGGAATCTGTGAGCCAGGAGATTTTCTAGACACATGTGTGGTTTCTCTTCATGCTTACAGTTACATGTAGAAGTATGTATTATCATTCCCATTTTTAAAAATTAACTGTAGACATAAAGAAGTGTAGTAACTTTTCCCAGGTCAAATAAGTAGCAGAACTAACAATCCGGGGGAGGTTGTTTTAACTCTGAAGCCCACCAAATCAAAATGCTTTGTAACATAGACTAACTCTATTAGACACACATTCTTCCCTGTCGGTATAGAATAATTAGAAATTGTTTTTCTCATGCAGTAGAGCTGGTACATCTGTTTGTACAGCACATTACAAATCAAAGTAGATTGTGGCGCAGTGGAGTACAAAGCAGCACTAGATTTAAATAAAACAAACCTGATTTTACCATTTCCTGGCAGTGTAACACAGTAATTAATTCACGTTACTTCTTTGAGCCTCATTTTTACATCTGTGTGGAAGGGATATTAATGTCTTCCCTGCCTGCTGCACACGTGTGGAATGAGGATCCATGAGATCATATAAACTGTACACTGGAGAGTCATACTTGATATCTTTATTGATCACAGTAAAACAAATGAATACCTATCGGTGTGTTCTTTCTCCTCAGTGAAAATGATCACCGCGGCCTTATCAAGTTGAGAAAAAGTTAGATCCTAATGTCTAGGATAGGAAAAAGCCAGTTGGCTTTTGATTGCATAGAATAGTGAATTTAGTACTATAATAGGGGCTGTGAAATCAATTAAGATGTGCCTTGGTGAGCATCTGATTGAAGTCTTACTCAGTCGTAAAGTTTCGTATCATTTTGGTGGACAGAATTTTTGTGATTTTTTTTTCCTGCAAAAATTTTGAGACCCTGATTCACACACACACACACACACACACACACACACACACACACACAGCCCTCACACACCCTGCTCACACATACACTCATGTGAGCTGGTATTGATGCTAAAGCACAAGAAATCAAAATCTATATGCTTTTACGTATATGTGACTTGAAAAAGATAATTTAATTGGGAAACCATAAAGAGATCATGGTCCCACTTTTTCCTTTTGTGAACTTTTAACCAGTGCCTTCCAAAACGTTCCTAAAACTCTGTGAATGTTCTTCTTTTCAAAAATAAATCTGAATTCTTCTTTGAGCTAATATAGTCCAGTATAGAATATGTATATAATATGTCCCGGAAGAATTATTGCATTTGCTTTGTTCTTGAAAAATGCCCCTATAATTTAACGTTTTTCATCAGTTTCCTAAGAAGGACATTATTTATATTATTCTTCTAAGGAAATAAACTTTATTGGAAACATATTCAGAAAGTGTGGTTTGTGTCAACTCAAGTTTTCCTTATGTAACTCACATATGCATTTCAAACTAAATCAAATTTTGTATCATTTATTAACCAATAGCAAAGCCGAATTGAAGATCGTTTGGAAAGACTGGATGATGCAATTCACGTTCTCCGGAATCATGCGGTGGGCCCGTCCACAGCCGTGCCTGGTGGGCACGGAGACATGCATGGGATCATCGGACCCTCTCATAATGGAGCGATGGGTGGCCTGGGCTCAGGGTATGGAACCGGTCTTCTTTCAGCCAACAGACATTCACTCATGGTAAGTGATAAACTTTGTAGACTCTGTTGTATAGAATTGGGGTTTCAGGTATCATTTGTCAGTAAATAGTACTGTTGCTTGTTTTGTTAAACAAGATTTGCCAGCTATAGAAAGAAAAGAAAGCTTCATACCATGAAGCATTTCAGTCAACTACTGGTCCGCTTTGTGTTTCCATAAATTTGCTTATTCTGAACGTTTCACATAATTAGAGTCACATAATTTGTGTTATTCTTTTGTAAAGACATTTTAAAATGCTGAAGATTAAATGCAGAACCTTCACACTGAATACATCCCCAGCTATTTTAATTTTTAAAATTTTGAAACAGAGTCTCACTAGGTTGCCCAAACTGGGCTTGAACTTGTACACTTCACTTACTGAATTGACCTCCCCAAGTGCTGGGATTTTTCACAGTTTGGGTATGTTTTAACACATATTAGAGCTTCATGTTCATTGCCAAATAATATTCCATTCTGTGTTTTAGAATATGTTACCCATTTTTAGGTGGTGAATATGTGCATTATTTCCACTCTTTGGCTACTACGTGTGATGCTCTGTGACCTTTCATGTGTAAATTTTTATGTGGACACATTTCTATTCATTTAAGTGTCTATGTAGGAGTGAAATGCTTGATCATTACTGATATTTTAAATTGCTTATCTTGGTGACTTTGATCAGTGGACACAACATAAATTCATGTTATATTGCTGATTTTCAAATACGGATTTTTAAATGAAATCAAAATGATGACTTTCAACCCTGCATATGGGAGTTAGAAATAAATGGCAATTTGCTTGTGCACATTCCTGTTATGAGGCTGTATAATTCAATGTACAGAGTAGTTTTGCTGATATATCTGAAGAGTCTATCTAGATAATCTTTAAGCAGATTTGTCTTCATGATAATTGGAATTTCTCTGTTGCGCACTGCTTTTGAAAGCACCTTTTTATGGATGATTGCAGAGATTGAAAGAATCTTTTTTAAACAAAATATAAAATGGTGATAATTAATGAAGTAGTCAAATGAATCAAGAATTTAACTTGCTTAGTCATTCTGTGTGATACAGCTACTTATGAACTCATCCCTAGTCAAAAAACACCTTTGTATACTGTTTTGTTCTTATTGGGTTCATTTTACAAATTGTTTGGATGAACGTCTCTTTTCCAGTATCATTATAGAATGCCTTGTTTACAGATTGGTCTTAAAGGAGCTGTAAAATAAGTACAAATTATTATGAGCGCCTTCAAGTTGTTGTTCCATAGTATTCTTTTGTCTTTTCCTTAGTCTTAGTTTCTCTTAATAAAAGACCAAGATTTAGATTACTATCTTGAGCAGTACGATATTGAAACCTGCAACCAATTTGAAACCCAAAATACAAGCTTATAAATAGAAGCAATGAACTCACTTCTAAACTGTGGAAAGATACTTCCGAATGCCAGAGTGAATTTTTTTTTTCTTTGTTTTACTTTGACCTCTACCCTAAAAATTCATCACTGAGTAAAAAGTGTTTGTCTGTTCAAGGCAGTTGCTAAGAGTTCACAAAAAGAAAGTCTAGATTTAATTTAACTTGGCCTCAGGTAATGTGTTAAATACACTTGGGAAGCATATAATATGGGATTTTCATTTGTACAGCTCTTTTTTTCTAACTACAATGTTTAAACAATACTGCTTTTAATTAAGAAATCTGGCTTTATTAAAAGCCAGATCTGTGACTTATAACCATTTCTGTATATCTGCTCTCAATCAAGAGAAAAATAGTTTAATTTCTGTAGTTGCGTTTGTTTTGCATATGTTAACCGGATGCAGCGTGCACCCGGGGCATTACTTCAGAGACTGTCTTTTCCATAAATATGTAAAGTTTGTTCTTAAATACCAGATGTAGGTTAAGTAGTTCTTTACCATATTAAACTATACATAGATGCTTTCTGGAACTATTTGACCTTTGAGTTGCCTCCTCTTTGAGTCTGATTAAGAGATGGGATGGGAAGGAAAATCTTAGTCTTGTTTATGGAGCTTGAAAATTGAACTGACCCCAGTAGAGAGGAAGGGGAGGAAATACAACAGAACAATTTTTAAAAGGGAAATAATTGGCCAGTATTATATAAACACCTCTTTGGTTTGATTTTGGAAGAGAAATTTAAAAAAAAATACATAGTCACAATAAGTCTGATGAAAGAAAACTCTTACTTACTCCTGAAGACTTTTAATATTCAATTAAAGACAACTGTGGAGCCCACCAGAGCATGGTGTAACTGCAGAGATGGGCCTGTCACTGTCCTGCTGCCCTCTGAACCAAGCACGATTCTGGTCTTTCTTCTTGAAAACTATTCCACATGTCTACAGAATCTCAGCTTCTCAGCCTGAAATATTAGTGGATGCGACAGAGATTCGATTGGCTATTTTTCCTTAGGCAGACTTACAAATTTTAAAACAAAATATAAGAACAAAGCAATAGTTCTTTAGTTTAGTCAATGTAAAGTTAGCCTTTGACCATTTGATACATTCCACAATAAAAAAGGAAATGTAAGGAGAAGCAAAAGCTAAGAAGAAAAGAAAAAGACCCACCCCTTTCCTCCCAACAACAAAAAAAAAAACTCAAGGAGGAGACTGGTAATGTTTTCCACATTTGAATTTTAATACATGAAACAGGCTATAAAACTTTGGCCAGCTGCAGTAAATAAAGTAGCCGTGGGAGGTATGCACCGGAAACAGGGCTGAAAGCTCTGGCAGAGGCCGCTCCCGACTGCACACCTTCCTTTGTTGTTCTGAGCTGGGAGCTCGGGCAGGAACTGGAGACTCATCCCAGGACTGGTTTTGTTTTAAGCAAATCTCCTTCCCAACTCTGCTTAATAATTCCTTCTGATTAAAGAATAGACAGCTTTGAATCCTCTTGACCTCCGTACTCCTCTCATTTCCTCCCTCGGAAAATCAAACCAAAATGGCTTGATAACTTGGAAGATGATGTAAGCATTTCTTTCTGTAGCAGCTTGAATTCGTGGTAGGGAAAAACTATGGTTCTGCCTCAGCTGTTACGTTATCTCATTTAATTGCTAACATATTGCACTTAGCTTTTGATTCACAAAATGTTTTCCTTGGAGTTTCGAAGTAAGTCTTCAGTGATTTACTAAGTATTAATATAATGAAAGAGCTTTTTTTTCATAGCAGCATGGCTCATAACACCACGGTGATCCTGGTCTATGTGGGAGCTTTCCAGGTGAACTTTTTAGACTGTGCTTTTTTTCCTCCTCAGAAACATTCTCTGGCTTTCCATTATCTATAAGATAAAGACCATTCCTTAGGATAGAATTTAAACCCACATAATGATTTACCAAAAGCCTATATTTAGCTATTCTAATACACAGAAAGTTTTCCAGCAAGACCAATCTGCATATTACCAGAATTGCCCGGTAATTCTTACTAGGTGCTTGCATCTAGCCTTGCCTGCCCTATCCACTTCTCTCTGTCCATCTCCTTCCCACCCATTCTTACAATTCTGACTCACGTTCTCTTCTAGGAAGCTCTCTCTGCCTGTGGTGGTCATGTTCTACTCCACTCTTGTAGCCCTATGAGTCATACCATTTCTAGATATTTGTCTCTCCAGCTCTTGTAGCTAGGCCTCCTTAGTTGCCTTCCTGACTGTTGAAAATTCCATGAGTACCACTTACTGCGTTTTGTCTCCATCTAAGTAAATAGATAATTACAAAGAAAGGAGAGAGGCTAACATTCTCCAGATGCCTGAGGGGTTGCCAGCCATTCTGGTAGGTGCTCCTTTTACAGCGTCCCAGCCAGTCTTGCAGGGAGGGTGACCCTGGTGGCACTGAGCTGCTAGAGAAGGCAGTCTTGGCAGGTGGTAGCAGTTAGACTCAAGCCCTGTAACTATATTCAAGCCAGATAAACTGACTCCAAATTACACACTCCTTTTTACTACTGTGAGTACTTGCCAGAGATTATAAGTACACCTTTCAAGAACTAATTTGAGGTGCTAGCAGCTTGTTATTTCCAAATCTTGATACACATTGGGTAGCAGAAGAAGTTCTTAGGTACTTTATGGCCAGGTTCCCAAAGCAGCTCTCTTCTTGCTGTGGGGTACTGTGTGTGCTCAGTGTGAAATTCATACCATTGAAACACTACTAAGAAGCATGACCATGTTGAGTGGTCGAGAGTTCTGTGCTTTTCCTTTAACATCCTTCAAGTGCCAAATTTTAAGTTATTTTTGTTACTATAACCACCTACTTTTCTAACAGAATCAAAGCATAAATCTCAGAATACGGAAGAACAAGGAATTAACTGAGATGTCACTAATCTAGTTAACAACTTTTTCCAAATATGATCACCTCTGGACCTAAGATACGTCCATGCCTAATCCTGTTATTAAATCATTAGATTTCTTATAAATTATTGAAATAACTGTTTTCCTAATATAATTCTATTTTTCATTTGTATCCACATCCAATGGGATGTGAAAGAACCTTTGCAAATGGCCTAACCTCTTTTTTCATTTTTTAAAGTGAATGAGAACAAGGCCCCCATCAAATATGTTTTCAAATGACTGTGTAAGTGCTGCTGGTCACCTAGCAGTGGAACCAGCAGTGGAGGGATTGTCGAGTTAAAAATGTTATGTATTATTAATCTTTAATATTAGTGTGGTTTCCAGTTCATTTTTTGTTTCAATTCCACTTACTCATTTCAAAATCATGTAGCAATGGTTGTAAGTGTTAAACCCATGCTAAGACCTGGTCTCTGTTCTCAGAGTTCATAGACTAGTCAGAATGCACTAGAATACTTAAACAAATTACTTCCTACCTAGTCAACTAGTCTTAAGAGCAGGGTCTCTTAACCAAGGAGGGATAGATGATATGGTCACCTGGTCCGGGAGCAGTAATGACTTTTTCAGGGAAACTGTAATTAACTTAGGGTTGTCCACCACAGCATCTCCAAGGCGTCTCGAGGCCTCAGAAGGGCTTTGTAGAAGGCAGTTTCTCTCTTTTCAATTCAATTTTTA